GTGTGTGTGTGTGTGTGTGTGTGTGTGTGTGTGTGTGTCTGTCTGTCTGTCTGTCTGTCTGTCTGTCTGTCTGTCTGTCTGTCTGTCTGTCTGTCGTGTTTATGTGTTTGTGCGAGTACGCGTGTGTGTTCATTAGTCTATATTGTTGTGACTGTATCAACGTAAACATCTATAGCTGAACCCTTGGAGAATTTAACATCGATTATCTAGTGCTGAAATCGACAAAGTTATGAAAGTCGTTCTACTGATAGTTTCTTCGCACAGCGTTTTATATCTATGAAAATCTGGAGGGTCGAGAAAATTAAACCTGGAGAACTGGATGATCATAATATAGGAAATACATAATACATGTACATGCAATAATAATACAAGTAATAATAAGGCCTACTATTTTTGTACAAGAAAGACAGAAGAAAAAGAAGAAATGAAATGTGAAAAAGTGTAAAGAAAGACAGGGGACTTTGTTTGACTAAAAAGATGCACATCGACACAATAATGGCCATTTAGTTTAGTGCTGGGGAAAAGTAAGATAGACAGACAGAAACAACGGAGGGAAAGTATAGAAGTAGGACCTACCAGTGACACCCTCCAATAACCAACCACCCACACAGACAGACAGAAACAACAGAGGGAAAGTAAATAAGTAGGACCTACCAGTGACACCCTCCAGCCACCCACGAAGGTGACTTTTATACCGACTGCAACCACCACCAACAGTAACAACAATCCAACAGCGAGCTTGCTACGACTGTTGTGCTTCCCCAGATAACAACTATAGGCCTACACAACTACACAGCTATACATGTACTTCACATTTTAACAATTCGGTTTCATGAGTGATCCTTTCAGTCTGTTGCGGCCAGATGAACGTTTGATTGCCGTTGCTATGGTAACGCAGAAGCGACGTGCTGTGGAGGTTTTCAGTGACATGAAGAAGAAAGTGGTGGTGAGTGATCCTGAACGGAAGTGGGCACAGCAGACGACAATCAAGTCGGTATGATTATTTCATGGTAATAGCTGGCACCCGGACATCGACTGACATCTCAAGGGGCCGAGGGAAGCTAGCCAGTTGTCACAGTGGGTGCTCTGTGTGGTTTGCTTCTTCGTTTCTATCAAACGTCTATTGTCTTTAGCTCCCTTACTTCTTTTTTTTTTTTTTGGGTGTAATTGTTACTCTCTTGTAACACATCTAATCTTCGGCACTTATATGACCTTATTGTGTTGCAAATGCCGTAAAACACTAATTAGAACTAAGTTTGTCTCAGGCCCACCCCGCCTCGACTGTGCCCTGCATGATGGAAGTTATCACTGACACTCTTCTCAAAAACAGTAATTATGAATGATTGATTGATTGTATGAATTGAATTTTATTTTTGAATTGTTTTTAACGAAAGAACATTCATTGTGGAAATTTTACAGAGTCATTTGCTTTGATTTGCATACAAAAAGGAAGATATTGAACAACACAAGCTGAATTGACATTTCAGAGGGACTATCTCTACACCACCAATTTGAACGTGGAGAATTAAAAGTTACAACTGCAGGATAAAGTGCTGTAATTATGACAGACTGCTGTGACAAACTGGGCAGCCCCCC